ACTCGATTACAATACTTCCTTTGCTTACGCTCGGGAAGTAAAAATTATCAGAGATTCACAGTACAACGAGCGGTACTTGGCATGAAAATTCAAACTTTCATATTGCCACAGTAACCACGCATTTTTTGTAATCAGCCAGTAAAAAAAATTTCGCTGTAATTTTGACTAGTGGTTTTTACCACCAAAATAATGATTTCATTGCTTATATGAGGAAAATGATTCTTTATTAGACCAAATTTCGACTTTCCCTCATTGCAAATTCTTTTCTTGCTTGATGAAAGAAGTGAAGGTGGTTAAAGAAATGAAAAAAGATTTATTTCTGAAATTATATTGGAGTGTAGATTATGTCAAATTAACACAAAGTGAAGACATCCGGGAATGATGGAAATTTTAACGTAAACGGGGCAAAAGTTCTAGGAACCCCAAGTATTGGATGTGGTTACTTCCAGTTGTGTAAATTCGCGAGTACACAAAAAGCTTTGTGGACCCGAACCGCAAGATTATTACTGTCCATTGTTGGCATAATGTAGCTGTAAACTGAGTTAAGTAATATAATAGCCAGTTTGACTTATAAGGGTGGTTTGGCTTAAGCCGCTTAAGTCATAAAAGTTTTAACAGGTGTATGTCAAATGAGCTTACTTTACACTGAACATACTGTTACAACTTGAGAATAAGGGGTTGCCTATAAGGCTGAGAGAGAGGGGAGAGTGATAGGCCGCAGTGAACGGAAATCGTATTGCGAGCAGGGGTAACGTGATTGGGCCGCCGAATCGGGCATTTCCCCACTTTTCGTCCGAGTTTTGCGCAAAAGAGATCGGGTCAGGGGCGGCTGGTCAGGACCGGCAGGGTCGGCCACGCCGTACCAGTCATTTTAAAATACTTAGTAAGCGTTGAAATTAGAAAATAAAAAAAGAAATAAAGTTTGAATGTACGTTAGGATAGATCATATATATTAAAAACATATTTTATTATATTGTAGGTACAAAATAAAGCATTTGTTGCTAATTTTAAATGCTGATAAACACGCTTTGCCGGCGAGATTTCGGCAAGCCGTACCCAGGAATGCATTATACTCGATGTTTCGACTTCGTAGCAGCTTACGGTTTCATCGTTCTCTTTGTCTAGTACACTGTAGTAGACAAAGACCTGGCGGAACGTATGTTGTGCCAGGTCCGGCGAAATCCTCCTTCGCCGTACCCAGCAACGCGAATTTAGTTTTTAAAACGCTTAATATTTAAGATAGCTAACCAAATTACAAAACAATAACGGCTTCGATGTTCTTCAGTGCATACTATTTTTTTTTAATAATAATTGTCGATTTAATACATTTTTCTGTGTATGAATAATAAACGAAAAAAATTACATTAAATTATCTAAAATTTTATTTTTCGTACATAACTTAGCTACAACATAAATGCGCTTTTTCTGTATTTTTAGCATCTAAGCGTTTTCAGATATTTCAGAAACGAATTTAAAGTTTTAAATCATTTTAATTTTTCAATTATTCAATTAATTTATTTGACAATTTGTCATATACATTAAAAAAAAATAAATGTAAATGAAGATAGTTAACAGTTGGTACTTTTATTATTACTTTTTTTATATTTTTTAACTGCATGTCATTATTTAATTATTATTATTTAATTGTGGATGTCCGGGGTCGGCAAGCCGTATAGCCGCCGGTCGACGCGGAGCTCAGTAAAAATAATGTTTTCGGTGGTTCTCAATTAATGATAAAGCAGAACAAGTAGAATTAAGGATTAATAGTATTTGGAATCAAACTGACATTGTCAATTTCCTATAAAAAATTATTTTAACAGGTCGAAACATTTGAGATGTTTTGTACATCCTGGCACGTAAAATGTCAGTGGTTAATGAGTAGCAGCCATACATTACGAAAATATATAACACCAAGGTGTAGACTCAAAATATTTGGCCGACCCGAAATTTTGACCCACCAGCCGCCACTGGATCGGGTAACGGGGGGCGGTCGAAAAGACAAAACTTTGGTGAAGATCTGGGGGAGCGATAGCCCCGCAATTATCAGGGGGTAGAGCGTGGTAGATCAACAGTACAGGCGGCAGCCAAGTTTTTACTTCCCGAGCGTAAGCAAAGGAAGTATTGTAATCGAGTCCGTCGGCCGACTCTCTACTTTTACGTTTTCTCGATCTTTCATGACCCCTAGAAGACGAAGAAATAGGTCCTCATTTCCGTCTGTCTGTCTGTCTGTCCGTCTGTCCGTCTATCCGTCTGTCCGTCTGTCCGTCTGTCTGCCGTCCCGGATTTTGATTAGACAGATAATCTCCGAAAGTACTGGACCGATTGTTGTGAAATTTTTGTACTTATATTAGGAATATCATGTACATGGTAAAACGCTAACCAAAATTTGTCTAATCATCCCCACCACTAATGCGATGACGTCACTTCAAAATTGTACATAGTAAATGGGTTTTAAATTGTATAAAATAACATAGTCCTACACATGTAATTTACGACTCCGAATTGATTTTACCCGAAACGTCCAGATTTTGGAAAAAAAATCAAAATTATAAAACAACACTTTGCAATTTAATTTTGAATCTGCTAATCCGAATGTTTTGAAATGTTGCAGATGTTTTAAGACTATAAAGAGCATCATAAATCTTTAGTCAAAATATATTTCGTTATCCCCTCCAAAAACTTGATGATGTCAGCTCAAAAGTTTGCCGAATAAATCCTATCTAAAATGTACAAAATATGATGAGTCTGTACTTGTGATATATCACTCCATTCATATTTTTTGGATTTGCATATACAGAGTGACTCAAAAAAATTAATGAATGCGTAAATTTATTTTACTGATTTACTCAGGAACTACAAAACCGAATGCTTTGAAATCTTGAAAATGTTTTAAAGTCATCATAAGCATGGTAAGTGTTTGATCAAAATGTATTTGCTCATCCCTCCTAAAAAATTGATGACGTCACCCCAAAATTTTGCTGAATAAATCCTATCTAAAATGTACAAAATATGATGAGCCTCTTTTTGTGATTTATCATTCCATTCATATTTTTTTGGGTTTGCATTTACAGGGTGACCCAAAAAGATTTGCGTAAATGTATTTTATTGATTTAATCAGGAACTACAGAACCGAATGTTTTGAAATCTTGCAGATGTTTTAAGGTTATAAAGAGCATAATAAATTTTTAGTCAAAATATATTTGGTTATCTTCTCCAAAAAACTGATGACCAGCTCAAAAGTTTGCCGAATAAATCCTATCTAGAATATACAAAATATGATGAGTCTGTAGTCCACTGCAGCACTTATGTTGCCGAAATTAGCTTCAGATTGCGTTCGACCAGTTAGATAATAATAAAAGCTTAGCACTTGAAATGAATATGTCTACAATAAAAATTATTTTAAGGTCAGAAATATTGAAAGAGAGCCTTTGAAAAATGGAATTAAATTTAAATTTTAAGTTAACGTCAATATATTGGACGTTTTAGTATGAGATTTAATAATGTAGAACATTATAAATAATAGTATCATTTCACGAAAATATCTTCTCATTTATCTTTATTGCATAAACAGTATTATCGAAGGTTAATATAGTTTCATAACGCAGTTCAGTAATGATTATTTCAAAAACAACATATCAGTAGTAATCCACGATTTGAATATTGAATATTGAATATCTTAGGATATAGATAGACCAAATATATACCGGGTGTCCCACGTAACACTTTCGCGAGCAATAACTCGGGTATTTTTAAAGGGATTGTTATGAAATTCAACACAGGTGTAATATAATAGGTAAAGATTAGGCTGATAACAAAAAACTATTTTATCGTACAAAAAACGATTTTTAACACAGTTTCCTGTTGTTACAAATTATGCAAAATTACGTTATAACTTTAAGCAACTAAAATAACGCCTGTGTGCGAAAAATTAACTAATCACTGTTTTTGTTCAAACGAATTACGTTAATAAAAACGTAAAAATTATATAATTAATTTGTTTTTTTTTTAATTGAATAGTGCTGTCGGTGCAAAACAATTGCCTGCGTCGCCGAGTTCAATTTTGTACACCCCTGACATTTTTGTTAAAATATGACAAATTATTGAAAATAGTTCGCTTTTCTTTAATTATTATTAAAACATAAATCATTTTAAGCTACGGAGAATGCCGTACAGACCTAGATGAAACAATCAGGATTCTTGTCGAACGGTATCTCGGTGACGTATTTACCAAATTCAAAGTACAGAGAATAACAAACTTATTTGAAGATACGAGAAGTGTACAAGACCTAAAACGAGTGAAAAAAACAAGGTGTTAAATACACCTAGCAAAATTATTTCCATTCAAGTTAGAATGAATTCCTGAACCTAAAGCAATTTTGCACCTTCAAAAAGGTTGTAGCGGAACAACTGAAAATTAGTATTTTCTTAAAATTCAAAAAATAACGCTTTGCAAACAGGTATCAAATTCCCGCAAGGGTGTCCAAAATGCGACGATAGCAGTTTTTTGTTTAAAACTACTTATCCTTTAATACTTTTTGGAATTATTTGCGCAATAATTTATCGGTTTTTGTCTAACCAGACGTATTTCGGAGATGAATTTTTGCATACAGTATTTATTAAAGCATTAAAAATTTTACTTTTTCAATATAATGATTATTCTCACCGGTTCATATTAATCTTCTGCTATCAAAATATCCACATTTCAAATTTCATAACTATCCGTTCAAAAATACCTGAGTTACTGCGCCCGAAAGTGTTACGTGGGACAGCCTGTATATATATATAATTTGAGCAACTACACTGCTTATCAAACTATTGGGTGTAATTTTTATTAATTTATCATTCTGGTACATTAATAATAATCTTTATAGTCACAAAAACGCACATGATAAAATCCAGATTTATAAATCGCTTTTTTATCTGCAATTAATCAAATTGAGAATTATCTATCTAATCATTAGACCCCTAAAGTTATTACCGCCATTCATAACTTAATAAGAATGCATTTGAACTTACCTACCTTCACAGCTTTTTCAGGTTTTTGTGCCCTAGCTTTAGGACTATTTTGTTCGAGTTATGTTTTTCCAAAATTGGAAGGTTATTTAATTTCAAAAGCTATTGCACTAGAAGAAGGTGGCAAAGCTTATGAAGCATGGAAAAATATTCCATTTCCATTTAAGCTTAAAGTATATTTTTTTAACGTAACCAATGCCAATGATGTACAAATGGGGTCTAAACCGATTTTGAGAGAAATAGGGCCGTATATTTACGAGTATTTCTGAGAAACTTTTGTTTATGTGTAGTACTTAGAAAGAACAGATGTTGATACCTTATGACCCGGTAAAGGTAAGCTGATACGTGGATTAATGATCGACTGTCACGCGAATATTGGGATTGGGACAAGCTTAGAGAATAATTGAAGACCAGTACGTTGTAATTCTAGAATTTAGAACATTATTTCATTTTGTCAACAAACTCATCAATGCATATAGTTATAGAGTGTTATTTAGTTTTAGAATCCGTGAAGATAGAAATGTTCCCAAATTTTAATCATTTCCGAATCAATGATGGATCTCATAATTATATCTTATAGAGAACATTTTTAAAACATTTTGGAACAGTAAACTGATAAATAAATCTGTACATTATCATAAAAATAGAAGAATAACATAAAAAGTAAAAAATTGGTCGAAAAGTCGACAGAACTTGCGTCGCCACTGAAGTAACTACAATAAAACATATATACAGTTTTTTTTTTTTAAATGATAAAATTTGACTTGAGAATTTTATTTTTTATGAGAATTCTTATAAGTTAATATAAAGATATGTATGTAATGTTAAACCAAATGTAAAGTCTTACAAACGAGTTCTTCTTTTCAAAATTTTGTGATTATTTCATTGACATTTTTGTAAGGACAAGTATATCAGTTTCAATAGGTACAGCGTAATACTAATAGCAACAGTAATGTAGGTATTTCAAAATTTTGAGAGATGACGTCATCGATTTTTTGGCGGTAATAACTAGATAATTATAACTGACATGGTCAATTTTCCGACAGCTGATGGTAAGCTCAGACTTTGCACAGAACATAAAGAGTATTAGCTGATAAACATATTTAAAGATTTTATTTTTAATACTGTAACTATTCAGCTTGAAGATACGAGTTTGCTTGATGTTTTATACTTTTATTTTGATTTCAGACTAATATAATTGATATTAAGTTAATCACGCAATTAATGAGCCGGTTAGCGACATCTGACTGCCGTAGAGTCGGTTACGTCGTACGTTAATTCACCATTAAAAATTACAGAAATAGTTACAGTCTATTGCTACAGTACCTAAGGCACTATTCTATAATTGTAATTAAAAAATTAAGATTTAAAAAATTTCAAAATTTTACATACAAACAGTTGTGGTATTTATATTCAAGAAAAAATCAACACTGAAGAGATTATTAACAAATTCTGAACAGTGGGTTCAATAGATAATGACTCCATTGCAGCTTACTCTACAGGGCCATGTTGGCGTCCATCTCAGTTTTTTCTGAATCGCTTTCACAGAAAATGATAACTTGTCATGTTTTTAGTGAATTTAGGGAAAGGGAAGTACTTGGCATTAACGATGAAAATGACAGTATTAGGTACACCCAAAAAAAAAATTACTACTTCAACAAAGACGAATCTGGATGCAGATCTGAAGATGACATTATTACTATATTACATTTTGCTATAGTTGTAAGTAGGCTTTTCTAACGATTAAGTGGTAAAGACTAAAAATGTCATATTTTATTAGAGCATGGCCTTCAAAATTAATAACATTTCTCCAATGGCTCTGCCTATGTTAAATGATTCTTTGCCACTTCTTTTTCCAAATATTAAAGATGTTTTTATTACAAATTCAGTACGCAAAATTTTGTTCGATGGTTTGGAAATAATGTGCGATTCAGAAGAAGTTGGTAAGATTAGCAATATTCTTCATGCTTCAAAACAAAACAAAAAAAATGTGTTGTAGATATGATTTGTGAAGGTTTACGATCTACACCACCACATACAATTCGACCCACTAATGACGGAAAAGGTTTTTTACTTTCTTTATTCCATCACGTGAGCATTGTTGATACCTGTAATATTATTATTAACATATCTTTATTTTTTCTGTAGATGAATAATACTAATGAGGGTCCATTTGAAATCGGCCGTGGTCTAAAAGATACTGTTAAAGGTAAAGTACTTTCTTTTAAGGAGAATAATTTACTGACACAGTGGAAAAGTAGCACATGTAACGAAATTCGAGGTACTGACCTCACTATTAATCCAAATTTACCAGAAGTACCACAAAAGATCAATTTCTTTGTACCTGATTTTTGTCGATATTTTTCGGCTAAATTTCAAGAAGAACTGCATTATTTTGGATTGAAAACGTATATTTTTAAAACTGTTAATTTATTTCAAAGTAGAGAAAATTGTTTTTGTGAAATTCGATCATACGAAGAAGATGATGACGATAGGTTACTACCTAATTGCCCTCCAAAAGGAACAATGGAAGTGAGTCGATGTACCGGATCACCAATAGTGATATCTCAACCTCATTTTCTCGGTGCTGAAAAGTCCTTGCTAGAATTTAGCCAAGGTCTCAAACCTAACAGAGATAGGCATGGAACTTTTATTTTCATGGAGCCAGTGAGACAATTATATAATTTTTAATTAATTAATTAGTTTGTTTTATTTTATTTTGCAGAAAACTGGTTTGGCTTTGAAAGTAAAAATCAGAATCCAAATGAATATTTTTTTGAAACATTATGAGGATGTAAGTGTATTAAAAAATGTCAGTGAAGGTTATTTCCCATTTATGTGGATTGAAAATGTATGCAATTACTGTAAAAATCTTTGCTGCTTTGATGACGTGAAAGAATTTTAGGGAGCAGAAGTTCCTATGAACATTATTGAAGAAGTGAAAAATAATTTTAGTAAATTGAAAGTATTTGATTTTGCGAAATATGTACTGATTACCGGAGGAATTATTATGTTAGGAGTATCTATAATTCTGGCGATGGTTAAAGATAAGGTGGTTTGTTCTTGTTCTAAGAAAAGTGCGAATTCTGTTAAAAGAAGGGATTATCTTGGAAGATTTATGAATATGTATTCAGATTTTGAGGCGAATAATGGTGTAACGTTACAACAACAGCACAACGTGGGTAGATATGTACCGAACATCACCGAGTAATAAATATTTAAGTTCACTGTATAATAATAACGTAATTACAGTTCAAGCATTTGACAACAAAACTCAAAACAACCTTGTAGAATAAATTGGAACTTTGCATCATCAAAAAATATATAATTTCAACAAAACTGCACAGTTTTTGTTAAAAATTAAACAACATTTGTTAACAAAAATCGTTCTCAAATTAGGTCAGCCCGGTATTGGACGACGACAAAAACCATGAGGACGTTTTTGTTGTCTGTCCATCGCACATTATTTGTGACATTTCGTCAATGAACAATGTATTTATTAAAATTATTTCAAGAAAACTATCGAATAAAATGTTCACTCTATTTTTTTAAGAATTTATTAAATTATGTTTAGAAATTAATATAATTTTGTGATTGCATTTTTCAATTTTGGTGAAACAATTATAAATTCTAACAGGTTCCTACATCCAAGTTTTATAATATTTGGAGTTTTGAAAAGTTTTGAAGTGATTTTTGGGTAACATTTTGTCATCAAATCATATGGTTTTTATTTTTGTAACAAATTAAAATTATTGTTATTTGCTTGGTGATATAATTAATAATAATATTAATATTAATAATAATAATAATAATAATGTTATTATTAATTAAGTTAATGCCCAACAGGTAAAACCTAAATTAAGGGCAAGGGTAATAAGAAAAAGAAAAACAGAAAGAAATAAACAAAAAAATACCAAGTAAATTAAAAATTAAAATTTTTGTTTAATAACTCGGTGTGTGCAATATTATAATTAAATAATATATCAATATTATAATTAAATTTTGTGAAATATGAACTGAAAAGCTGGAGTAAATAACATTTTCAAAAATCTTTGCAAAATTGCAGAGGAATTAGAGGATTGACACAGGCCTATAACCCGAAATGTCTGATTTATCCCCCTTTTTGTAAACAGGACAAACCCTCGAGATTTTCCAGTCCTGAGGAAATACACAGAAAAAAATTATTGATACAGGTTTAACGAAAATATTTGAACAGTCCTTTATAACCAATGCTGGAATTTGGTCTGGAGCTGGACCAATTAATAAGGAGGGTTTTAGCTTTTTTATAGAATTAAAAATGGCTTTTTCACTAACAATAATAAGTATGTTTTTATTTATGCTGTAATAATAACAATCTATGTTTAATAAAGGTCTGTGAGAAATAATTCGCAAAACAATCAACAATACCTTGTTGTGATGACAGGTTGACCGGAATACATAGAGTGTGAATCTTTTATATATAAGAAATGACCAGAGTTTGTCAGAGGATTCGATTTTAAATTAAAATTTATCTCGTGTAAATAAGAAGCGTTTGCAATTTTAATTTGTGATTTAATTTCACTCCTCAAAATTTTGAACATTTCATAGTCATGAGATGATTTTGTTTGTTTATAAAGTGTCCAAGCTGTATTTTTGGGTTTTAATTTTTTAATAATATTAGAATTTAACCAGCAGGGATAATTGCCGCACGGTTCTTTCTTTGTTGGTACATGCAACTGAAAGATGTCATTTAACGCGGAATAAAAACTAGTAACAGCACTGTCCACATTCGAATAGGATTTAAGAAAAGACCAATCTACTGAGATAAGTGATTCGTAAAGTGATATAAAATTTCACTTCCTAAAGTTAAGTTCTGAAGATGCCACTGCTGGAAATTTTTTGGTGGTCTTCATGCAAGAATAGTTCTATAGATCTAGAGCAGAGTAGATCTTGGTTGACTAATACTAAATCTAATAACTAGAGCTATGCGGTCGAAATTTAAACGCTGCGAATTGACCCCTACTCCGGCAGGCCAGAGGCTTGCAGCCGACGTTACGTATCGCGAAGAAAATTCCACGAAAAATAATGTTAACGGCATGTCAGTTGATGATTTTAAAATCCATATTCACGAAATAAGAGTAATAATAATTTTAATAATGTCCAGGTGTCCGTCTCGTTGACAATAAAACTATTTGTGTGAATTATCAAAAATAATCCACAACTGGAAAGCGAGAAGCGAGCAAGGCAAGGCTGTAGCGATCGGCACTGTGGGCCGATAGTGGGGGTAAATAAATTTCGACCGCACAGCTCTACTAATAACTTACCATTTTCATCTAGAACAACGTTGCACTGTTCAGGTCATAAAAACTTAAGAAATTATTAACGAATTTTAAAGATGTAGAGGGAACAAACACAGTTTATTGAAGTACAAATTCAGGAATGTTAAAATAGAAATTCAGGAATGTTAAAGTCACCTAAAATAACTAATTGAGAATCATACAATAAATATGCAGCCCTCAGCGTATCAAAAAGAATAGTATATAGTCAATAGTAATACCATGAGTAGGATGAATATTTGTGATAATTCAGACGATTTATTAGCTAAACGAATTTTGTATTGCGATGGAAATATCACGAGTTGCGCAGCCACGAGTGGTATTTCCTGAGCGCAACACAAAATGAGTTTGCTAATAAAAGTCTGAATTATAAAAATATTCATCCTAACGAATTGTATTTTGCAAGACTATTCCATGCAGTTAGTACTAAAGCACAATAATTATAAACAATTTTCTTCAGTATTTTTAATTCACTTTCTACGAAAGAATTGTTGGCAAATGAACCAATTTTTTAATGTCAAAAAATTAATTTGTTTACATGATTGTAACTATGGTTTGTTAGGTTGAAAACACCGTTTTTTGACCCAATGGGGATGCCGAGCTACTGTGGCTGTGGCGAAAAGCCCACGTTACATACCAATCAGATTGGTTCTTAACCGATATGCATGGAATAGTCAGTATTATCGCAGACTGGGGGAATATAAACAACTGTAGCACACTTTTGATAGTGGTGAACATAAACACGTGATTAAACTATTTATTTTATTGTTTACAGATATGTAACATGAACATTTAATTAAATATATTTGTGAATGAATAAAAGTCAAAAGAGTCGCGGCGCGAAGTGAGACGGATGGAATTTTCGAGGTCCCATTTGGACGTATGTACCAACAAGCGCGTTTATCAGAGCCAAGAACTATTACAATTCAAACCCACCCAATCGCAGTACTCCGTTGACTCCGTTCTCCAGATCTTTGGCTGACCACCGAGTTGTGCTGTGAGTCTTTGGAGTGAGTACAGGTTGAATTCTGACAGGTGGTCGTCCGGAGGTTCTCTTCTACTCCGTTCGAATTCTACGGTGCGTGGGTCGTTGCTGAGAGCGTAAATGGCACCAGGGAAATGGCATTAAGCGCTTGGGTAGCGGATATAATGTACAGTAACAACGTTCCTGTTGTATACAATAAAATTTTATGGTGGTTAACTTCACAGCGGTTCATACCCACCATAAATTGTAATTTGAAAACCGGACAAGTGGAAGACTAGTAACCCGAGCGGTTCTTAGCTACCCTTCTTCTGGTTGAACAATAGCGGCGCATGCCAAGGCGGTGGGACCACAGTATAGATATCTATACTGTGGTGGGACGCTCAGAGAATGAACAGCTTAGTCAACCCTTCGTAATTACATTGTAAAATTTTATTGTATACAACAGAAACGTTTCTGCTATTAGCACAGCCAACTGTAATAGCGGAAGCTTGCGGAGTGGGGCCGTGATTGAGTTTCGGCGTGGCGTGGGATGATGGCGTTACGCGTTCCGTTACACAACTAAAATAAATACATTGCAAAAGTTAATATTCAATTTTACCATTACTAAATCAACTAGAGGTAAAATATCACGGAGCTCATCCAAGATAGAGGTGATAGAGATTTCAGATAACGAAGCAGAAATAGTACGTTTGACAGCCAACAAGACACCACCACTTCTTGAATACTTTAAATTTTCATAATTGCGGTTTTTCCTGAAGACTTGATACTTTACGGGCTCAAACAATTCAGAATCACGTATACTACTATTCCGCCATGTTTCCGACAATGCTATTACACCATATTTATTAGATGATGAAATCGAAGACAAATAGAATTCTCCCGTTTTAGTAGACAAGCCTCTTACATTTTGATAATAACAAAAGATAGAATGAAACACAGAGCTTGACGCAAACGATGAATTGTCATAATCACAGTTATTGCTATTATTGCCATTTTTTTAATATCAGGTGAATACCATAATTGCTTGTCTGTTCCAAGTACCAACAATTTAAATTTTTTAAGTTGATTTTGATACACTACATATTTATTACGGTTTACGGTCCCATGCCGCATGAGTGCAGTCGAGCTCCGGATTTTTTGGACAGTGCGTACATCAGACTCCTCATCTGTGTTCCTCACACTCTTTTAGCAAGTGCTTACTAGCTCATTTAGGGCAAGTGGAGTATTTTTCATTACACTGGTTTGATAAATGGTTGAAGCCAGAACAATTGTAGCACCGTTGAATTTCAGTTGCATCCCAAACTTTGCAATAATCATACCCAATGAACAATTTACCTTTACGTTGTTATATGAATTTAGATTAACGTTGATAATAATCGCTTGATTGAATTTATTGTTATTACCTAGAGGCAGAAATTTCTTTAAGTTACACACTCAACTACAGACTCTTTTGCAATATCTTTATCTATTTCCGCTATTCTAATTGTAGGATTCAATTGTTTTAATTACTTCACTTTATATTCTGTGAGATTAGTTGTGATCAGATTTTTCATTTTATTCGAATCCTCAGTATTGTTACAGCTTATGATTAGACTGTCGTTGCGACACGTTTTTACACTTGATATGCCAATGTTTGACTTAACAGGATTTATTTTATTTAGGAGATGTTTTTTAGTCACAAGATGTTGTTTGTTTATTATCTTTAGGCTGGAGAATGACAGATGACGTCTTATTGATAACAGTTTCTGCATATGTAGGGACTGGAACTTGGGTATTACTGACAATAGATGAATTACTAGAATTGATTCATTTTGTTTTGCAATGGGAGACATATATTGTAGCTAGTTGTCATTGATCCTTCTTAAAAAGCATTGTATTTTTACTTCCCGAGCGTAAGCAAAGGAAGTATTG